TGGATTCTATTTTGTTATCCCTGTAAAATACGATTACTTCTTTCGTATTTTTATGGGAAGAACTTTAATTACATCTTTGCTGCATACTTCAGATATATTGCTCTATACTGGTTCAGGGACTGTTTGGATTACTATACATTTGTATTGAGAAATACAATAAAAGAAAAAACATGCCAAAATTTATAATATTTTTTGTAGGCATCTGGACCAAGACAATGTATGTCTCCCAGAGTTTCTGGTCCACCTTCTCACAGGTAAACAACTGTTTTTTCAATTTTTCACTATGACAAGCAGAAATGATACAGAAATATTCAAACCACAATCTATTTTAAGTTGCAGTTAATAAACTAACAACAAAAATGAGGGAGGCATGAAAAGAGTCCAATATCAATCCTGGATCACTCAAGTTGGGAAAAACTAACAAAGCCAGGTTTTGGACAGAAAGAGAAATCCTTTTGCTTCTAGCAACTCTGACTTTTCAGACAAAATTCCAGAAATCAAAGGACTATTTCTTTGAGTATTCATATATTTTCTTATGTAAATTCTTTGTCTTCAGATCAGCCCATGGTGCAGAAGCAAGTGCTGTTAGCTCTGTTGTATATCAGGTAAAATTCTTTTTATACCTTAAATCTCTCTCTCAGTGGGAATCATTAAGATTCAGAGGAAAGAATTTTGGTCTATTCTTTTGTTTTGGGGGCGTGTTATTTGTACAAAATCCTCCAAATCTTTTAAGGCACATAATGTGCTCAAAGCCTCTGATGTCATTCTATGCGTCTGTCTGTACGATGTCTTGATGCTATTTGCTTGGTTACAAAACAAATGGTGGTCATTAGTTCTAATAATTGTCAGTCTGATTACTCTGCTAAAGTCATTATTTCAGTCTTCCCAGTTGTTAATGGGCATGGATAATCCAAGAAAAGACAAAATACTCTCTGAATAAAACTTTCATTTGTGACTCTGTTGTAGAATACAGACAGGAGCTCGCCAATTGGTGCTAGTGGATCTGTATCTAAATCATCATTATTAGCTGGTCAATTTGATGAAGATGAAAGTGCTGCCTCCTTTCAAGATGCTTTAAAGGCCTGGAGGAATGGTGATGCAGAAGTTACCTCCCCTAGTAACAAGAGAGTTGCCTCCACTACTAGCCTAGAACGTCCAGTCTCTAGAGTAACCACACCCAATAAGTACTTAATGCCAAGGGATCTCCTGTTAAAAAAGATGAACCTTTGCTTTAATGTTTAGAAGGGATCTTGATTGTATATGTATCTGGAACATTGGTTTGTTCTGCCATCCGGACAGCTAGACACGTTTCCATGGCAGTGCCTCTGACATGGATAGCTGACAGGGGGAGAGGAAGTTGACAAAATACAAAGGTACTATCTTAGGGCTTGTTTACATTTAGTGGATATTGATCTTGCAGTTGTGAAAACAGAATCTGGCACAAGTACACAAGAAACAAAACAGCCAATAGAAATCAAGTTTACAAATCATGGTGTTAGCTATGCTGATAGATTACTACTCAAGAAACACCGAAGAACTGATGTAGATCATATCAACGCGCCAAGGACTACTTCTTCTAATAGTAACGAACATTTTGCAAATGGCGAAGGTAAGCTTTTTTGGAATTGAAAATTGAAAATTTCCAAAAACAAAAAAAATGTTTTTATCATACAACTCTTCTTCACAATGTCAAGATATTTTAAATGGTCTAATACCTTGACATCATTATGTATCACAGAAGTTTGAAAGGCTGTATTTGCTAGAGCAATATCCAATTACATTCTGCATTGACTAACGCATGTAATACAAGAAAGTGTTTAATGATGTCAAGGTATAAGACAGAGTTTGTTATACCTTGATATTGTGGACAAACAGATTCTTGTTTTATACTATTTTACACTATCCTGAAACTTTCTAAATTTTATGAATTGTCTTGCAGTGGATTGGAATATAAAATCCTTGAATGACCAAAATTTTGGCTGAAAATTGTCCTCTGTAAAAAACAAATTTCAAAGTGATATGAGCTCATGCTGTTATTTTTTTTACATGTACTATTTCGAAGCTATTAATTCTCATAAAATTCTCTGTAAATTTCGATACACCAATGGAAAGGTAAATTGTTGGGTTTTGTTTTATAAAATGAGTTTCAAATGGTTATCAAGCAAGCCTTACCTCTGTTTCAGAAGAAGAGTTAGAGCCAGTTGATTTCCAGTCATTATATAACGCCATGGTGCCAAGTTCTACAACTCCTAATAGTCAACATACAGTTTCTAGTTTATCTATTATAGAATTAGAAACTACAGTAAGTTCCACCATATTCCTTTTATAGGTTTACATAGGTGGGCATATATTGGGGCCACCCATGTCCGTGCTTCTGTCCACAATTGCTCATAAACCCTCCAGAAAAAACTTACTTTTTGCTGTCTTTGAATGGCATTTAGCAATTGTGATTACGATATATAGATACAGCTTTATGGAACAACAATCACTGGTTAAAGTTTCATGCAACGTTTGGACGTGTTTCCCTCGTCGTCATCAGGCACATGGGCAAACTATATATACATTAATGCTTACTATTAAGAACATTGAATAATTTAACATTTTTATTGAGATGCATTGACAATAAGCATGTTCTTAATAATAAGCATTAATGTATATATAGTTTGCCCATGTGCCTGAGGACGACGAGGGAAACACGTCGAAACTTTGCATGAAACTTTAACCAATGAGTGTTGTTCAATAAAGATGTTATTTTCTTTTTCAACAATTGATGTGCAATTAGATTTAAAGACAAACTCTTTTTTGTTTAGAATTTCATCATTAAGCTCCCATTATAAATTTTAGCAATTTGTTTTATTGGATTTAACAATTTAAAAATTTAAAACTTTTTGTGGTTTGGTGTATGGAATCACCTTCGAGAATCATTTCATCCCTAAAAATAATGAAATAACATCACAGAAACCTCTGCCTCCTGACCTGTAATAATATTTGTTATCCCTTCTATGTTATCTATTTGATTTGTTATTTACCATAGCCAAAGAGAAAATATAAAGATATAGAACAGTCAAGTCAATATCAAGTACAGGAAGTCAGTGAAATGATGGCATGGGCTATCCAAAACAGGTTGGTTTAAGAAATTTTATCTCTCACTTTTAAAAGTCCTTGATTTCACTCTAAAAGTCCTTGATTTCACCTTTGCAATTCCTTGAATTTTACTTTCAAAAGTCTTTCAATTTCGCATTAAATTGTTCTTGAATATCACCTTTATTAAGTCCTTAAATTTCACAATTGAAAAGAGTGGTTTTATTTTTTAATGTCCTTGATTTCGCTGTTAAAAGTCCTTGATTTCACTTTTAAAAGTCCTTGAATTTTTCTTTCAAAAGTCTTTCAATTTCGCATTAATTTGTCCTTGATTCTTACTTTTATTATTATTCAAATTTCACCTTAATAGTGCTTGTATTTCACCTTAAAAAGTCACAGAATTATTCCTTTAAGAGTCTTTCAATTTCACCTTAAAAGTCCTTGGATTTATATTCATCTTAAAAGTCTTAACTTTGTACTTGAATTTCACCTCAAATATCCTATGAAATTGATAGTGTTCTTGCCTTTCCTTTGAAAATGTATGTGAAAAATGTAACATCAGAAAGTACATCTTGGATATATATATTTAAGTACTTGCCAATTGATGTAGTAAACATTCAAAATACTTTCAGCATTACAACATCAACATCAACAGAAGCAGCATCATATCAGTCAACAGTAACATCATCACCAACATCAGCTCATGGCTACATCATCTCACCATCTTATGATAATAACATCTCAACTACCAGACACAAGACAGAAGGCACAAAGCAGACACCAGATTTAAAGAGAGATAACTCTAGTGTCAAACCAGACTCCAAACAAAAGTCAACTAAAGATCATCCAGACAAACTTACACGTCCACCATCTTCCCGATCAAAATCATCTGCAGGGTATCGAACCCATAGTGCTAGATCCCGAACAGCTTCACGAGCCAAAAGTCGTGCCATGTCTCCCATGCAGTAAGTATTAAATTGTAATGGCTCTGCTTAAATTTAAGATACATGTATTTGGTACGAAAATGAGGAAATACCATATTTTGCTACAAAAACTTCAGTTCTAGAAGATCTTACCTGGAAGTTGTTCATTGGTCAAACCTCTTGGCATTGACCTTTCTCAGTTTCTGGTCCTTGATCCTTGATGGTTGTGCGATTTTTTTGTTTCAGAATAGAAGGCTTGTTAACCAAAGCTCCTACCCCAGCATTACACGAGATAGCTCAACTAGCAGAAACGGAGAAAGCCATGGAGACAAACAGTCAGTATCGATCGGTGTTTGATGACTATTTTACTGGTACTGATACCTCCAATAAACCTCGATCACCAACACCAATGTTAAGTGGCAAGAAAAAGGACATTAAAGTCAGCTATGCCTGTAAGTTTTGGTTGTTCATGAATATACCAAATAAATTTTGTGAAGTATGTTGACTCTTCGTTGAGTATCCTCAGTTGACCAACCAAGTTGCAGAATGACTTCAGGTGTTCTGAAAATTTGAGCATTCCCTGTTCCTATACTATAACACAACCCAAACTTCAATAAAGTCTATATAGATCATAGAATATGTGTTTGTGTTGTTTTTTTTTCTGCTGGTAATAACCCCTGTCCTTCATGATCTGAAGTAATTCTTCCCTAAATCGTGTTCAGTCTCATTTTGACCTGACCAGCTTTTTTATGTCTGTTTCTTTTTTCAGTATATCAAATGGCACCAAGGTCTTGGAAACCTGAGAGTAGTTTCAGTGACATGATTCCTGAAGGGGCAGCGTTTCCTGAATTATCTGACGCCATGAAAGCATGCCTTCCAGGAGTGATGGACAAAGAACCACAGATGGACATGAACCCCTTTTCAAGAAATATGGACACTCCTTACAATGACACGGGCAGTAGGACCACTTCAGAGATGAACCCGTTTTCTAAATTCATGGAGAACAAGGCCAACACAAGGACCAATTCAGACATAGGCTCAAGGTCTAATTCAAAAATCAGTATGTCAAAGAAAGACATGAGCTCAAGGACCAACTCAGAAGTCAGTCCTTCAAGAAGAGACCTGGGCTCAAGGACCAACTCTGAGATCAGTTCTTCAAGGAGAGACCTGGGCTCAAGGACCCACTCTGAGATCAGTTCTTCAAGGAGAGACCTGGGCTCAAGGACCCACTCTGAGATCAGTTCTTCAAGGAGAGACCTGGGCTCAAGGACCAACTCGGAGATCAAACCTTCAAGAAGAGAGATGGGCTCAAGGACTAACTCCGATATGAGCTCTTCATGGAAAGACATTGGAAGACAGAACAGTTCACATGAAAACTCTCCTCAAGATGTAGATCCTAACAGAAGACGCAGCTCAATGGAGCATGAGCCATCTTCTCCAAAATGGGATAAAAGAACCAATAGGGATGATGAGTTCCATGAAGAAATGCAGAGCAGAAGAAACAAAAATAATCCAAGGTATGTGTCCATTTTTTGGATTAATCTGGACATGAGGATTTCCCACTCGCTGTTGTTTTCTGTTTTTTTTGGGCTAAGATTGACAAAGGCCAATTCCCTTAGCCCCTACATCCCCCTTGTCAGTGATGCAGGTTAGAGAAGCATTATTAGATAATATATGTAAAGCTGAACAAATCATTGTGTTTTCTTGGGAAAAACTATTTACATTGATGTTTTACTATTTGACTATAAATGCAACATGAATATAGAACAAAGCCTTATATCCAATTGCTCAAACTACCAAAATCACATGTTCATTTAAGATCATGCAAATAGGATAAAAATTGTTGCATTGAATACTGTGATATATTGCAGATCACTTACCAGTTCTGATTAGCTGACAAAATTGCAGAAATCTATTATTTGTCTAATATTTTGCCAAATATCATGTTATTTCCATCAGGAGACAAAAGATTGAAGAAGAATTTGAAAGAGAATTAATGAGTCGTAACAGTAATAGACTGAATACAGATATGATGACACCTATTAGACTAGACGAAATTTCATGCAAAACAGAGACACCAGTACCACAGAAATCAGAACATATAGGTAAGTTACTTTATCTTTTACGTCATTGAAATTAAGATATAGCATTACTAATTTGAAAAATGTATTTTTGAAAAATTATTGATACATGAGAGTCTTTTGAATAAATTTGTATTTGTATTTATATATACCCATAATGAAATAACTAGATAGTAAATAATTTTTATTTGTAGTTATTAATTACTATATCAAAATAACATGTTTTTGTAATTAATAACTATATCAAAATTTATAGTTATGAATATCTATAGTAGAATAACTGTGTATTTGTAGTTATGAATAACCATGATAAGTAACTTGTATTATTAGTTATTAATAACTATAGTAACATAACTTGTATTTGTAGGTATTAATGACTATAGTAAAATAACTTTTATTTGTAGTTAAAATAACCATAGTAAAATAACTTGTATTTGTAGTTATAAATAACCATAGTAAATAATTTGTATTTGAAGTTTTTAATAACCATTATAGATAACTTGTATTTGTAGTTATGAATAACCACCATAAATAACTTGTATTTGTAGTTATAAATAGCCATCATGAATAACTTGTATTTGTAGTTATAAATAACCATCATAAATAACTTGTATTTGTAGGTATTAATTACCATAGTAAAATGACTTGCATTTGTAGTACTGGTAATTAATAACTATCATAAATAACTTGTATTTGTATTTATTAATAACCATCATCAATAACTTGTATTTGTAGTAATTAATAACTATCATAAATATCTTGTATTTGAAGTTATTAATAACCATCATAAATAATTTGTATTTGTAGTTATAAATAACCACCATAAATAATTTGTATTTGTAGTTATAAATAGCCATCATGAATAACTTGTATTTGTAGTTATAAATAACCATCATAAATAATTTGTATTTGTAGTTATTAATACTAATCTCTTACTTGTATTTGTAGTTATTAATAACCATCATCAATAACTTGTATTTGTAGTAATTAATAACTATCATAAATAACTTGTATTTGTAGTAATTAATAACTATCATAAATAACTTGTATTTGAAGTTATTAATAACCATCATAAATAACTTGTATTTGTAGTTGTCAAGGGAGATGACTACAGTCAATATGATGGTGAGGCTAACAATCAAACTCGAGATGATGAAGAAACATTAGATAAGTTAGAATGGGAATTAGCTTCAGAATCTGGTAGACTTACAGGTAACCTACTTTTTTTCATGGACAATTTGGGATCACAACTTCATATTGGAAATTTTGGGCTGTCACAAAAGATGAAGTTGATCAAATATTTATTTTACATGCTGAATTAGTTTTAAACTATGGTTACTCTGGTTGGCATGTTGTTATTTAATAGTATACTAACAATATCTTCAATTTTCATTCTGGAAAAAGGTCATGGATGGCTCAAATTTAGATCTACCTAGTGCAAGAAAATAATTTATTTTCACATTCTGCAATTAAAAAAATTTGAGTGAATTCAAGGTCACTTTAAGCAAATTTCTTCATATTCATAGGCTTACGCAGGATTGCACAAGAAATGTTTTCTTCCATTTTTGTAGCCGATGGTAAAATATCTAGATTAAGTCTCAAGAGTAACAGTAGAAGTAATAGTAGCTGTTCTACTGTCAGAAATAGTTTGAATAGTTCTGTAATAGATCAGGGTTATGATATCAACACTAGATTAAGGTAAATAGTTTGAATAGTTCTAAATAGTTTGAATAGTTCTAAACAGTTCGAATAGTTCTGTAATAGATCAAGGTTATGATATCAATACTAGATTAAGGTAAATAGTTTAAATAGTTCGAAATAGTTTGAATAGTTCTGTAACATATCAGGGTTATGATATCAACACTAGATTAAGGTAGGGAATAGTTTGAATAGCTCTGTAACTGATCAAGGTTATTATATCAACACTAGATTACGGTAATAAATAGTTTGAATAGTTCTAAATAGTTTGAATAGTTCTAAATAGTTTGAATAGTTCTGTAACAGATCAAGGTTATGATATCAACACTAGATTACGGTAATAAATAGTTTGAATAGTTCTAAATAGTTTGAATAGTTCTAAATAGTTTGAATAGTTCTGTAACAGATCAAGTTTATGATATAAACACTAGATTTAAGGTAATAAATAGTTTGGATAGTTCTAAATAGTTTGAATAGTTCTGTAACAGATCAAGGTTATGATATCAACACTAGATTAAGTTAAATACTTCTAAATAGTTTGAATAGTTCTAAATACTTTGAATAGTTCTGTAACTGATCAAGGTTATGATATCAACACTAGATTAAGGTAAATAGTTTGAATAGTTCTGTAATAGATCAGGGTTATGATATCTACACTAGATTAAGGTAAATAGTTCTAAATAGTTTGAATAGTTCTAAATAGTTTGAATAGTTCTGTAACTGATCAAGGTTATGATAGCAAGCCTAGATTACGGTAGGAAATAGTTTGAACAGTTCTAAATAGTTTGAATAGTTCTCTAACAGATCAAGGTTATGATATCAACACTAGATTTCGGTAATAAATAGTTTGAATAGTTCTAAATAGTTTGAATAGTTCTGTATCAGATCAAGGTTATGATATCAAAACTAGATTAAGTTAAATAGTTCTAAATAGTTTGAATAGTTCTAAATAGTTTGAATAGTTCTAAATAGTTTGAATAGTTCTGTTACAGATCATGCCTTCAGAGGCCCTTGTTGTTTTCAATATTGATTCATATATTATATCTGTTATTTGTAGGGAAGATGAGCTAGGTGATTCTGATGATGATACTGGAATGGTAACAGATAGAGATGATGTTCGTGCTTTACACTGAAAGACTTTATTCCATCAGCTTACATAGCAATGGATTTAGAATTGAAATTGTGCATACCAAGATCACTTCCCCATTCCATTTGAAAAAATGAAAATTTATATTGTTTTAGAAATCTTATTGTTCTAATTGAATGTTCGTATTCACTCTTTCACCAGTCATTTTTCATAAGTAATCTTCCTTCTTCAGCATTATTTTTATTGATTATTTGTTGTTTATTGTAATTGAAATAGGCTTGTATTCTATATTAGTTTTAATGATACATGTTCAGTAATGTTATTTAAGAGCCTTTAGGTAAGGTAAATACACTGAATAAATAATCTACAATTAATTTACAAGTTACTTAATGTAAGTAAAATATAAGATATCAGTCTCTATTCAGAATCAGTTTTTATGAGACAAGCTTAGAATGTTATTTAAAAGATCCTATTTCTTTCACTAAAAGGCTTGGTGACTATTATTGTACAACTTGTTTTAGAAATTACTGTATTTTGGTTTCATGTCATAATCCTTAGATGATACAAATTTATGTCTTTAAGAATTAATAAGATGTAAAGACCACCAAAAAATTGTTTTAAAGTTAGAATATTTATAAGTTTAATTATTTATTATTTTTAACTGTGATATTTGCACAATAAGCATTAAAAGTAAAATTGGTTTTCATTGTGATTTTTATATGCCCACATGAAACGAACCCTATTGAAACTCAGAAAAAATTGAAAAAAAAATTGGTATGAGTTATTGCACTTGTTCTTGAAATGCTCGTAAACACTCCAAAAGGCACAATTCGTGATGGATTTTGATGAAACTTGGTATGACTATGAGTGTTTGTTATCACCCAAGGATGAAACCTATTGAAAATCAGAAATATCGAAAAATATTTAGTATGAATTATTGCCCTTGTTCTTGAAAACGTCTAGAAACTTGACGAGCTTGTCAACTCTCTAGAAGGCACAATTATTGACTAAGCTTGGTGTGATTGTTTTGTAATCACCCAAGGATGATCCCTATTGAAAATCTGAAAAATCGAATAATATTTAGTATGAGTTATCTACATAAAGGGGTTAACAACTTTCGAACTGTGTAAATATCAATACTTCCTCCCCCTAACACTGGAATGGAATACTGTCTATTCGTCGGGTGCGAAAATTCTCCCTGAAACAAGGCCAAGTTTTTCCGACCCTACACCAGCCGACAACATTAAAAATAGCTATCAGAGACTGGAATAGAGGCAGACAAGGTCGACAGGCAATACCGTGGGCCATCATGTATGAATATATTCCAAATTAACAGAACATGAATTTCTACTTATGTTTTAGCGTTCGATCGATTCCACGTACAGATTTGTATAGAAATCATCATGCAATCGATACAGAATTGAAATCCAATAGCGCAGACGACAATGTCACATCCGGTGTACGGAAGTTGGTTTCTATGAACGTTACTTCATTACCCAGGTCCTTAATGGCTCAAAAAGTCAGTCCCAGGCAGATGAAGCAATTAATTTGGACCAATCAGCATCCAGCATACAAATTGAAGATCAATAAGGAATCGTGGTGTAACTGTTTATTTAAGTCGTTTGGCATATCAGACTATCAGGAATAAGTGGAACTTATTGTGGAACCATTGTTTAATGACTTTATCAGAGTTTATTTATAGTAGTCATTGGTATTAAGAACTCTTGGAAGGTAAGGCTTTCGAATTTCCACTTTTAAAATTAATTTCAAAATTAATAACATAGACTGCTAAATTGGCCAAATTTCAAAGTTTTTGATGGGCAAAATGCAAAAGTTCAACCCCCTTCATTGGAGAGCAAGCGTTATTCATGTTATAGAAATTTGTCTTTCTATGTTTCCTGTGGGAAAAAGCTCCTAGTGCACGTTGGTGATATCTAGTTGACAATCATAAAAGATAACGTGTGCGGTCGACATAATGCAAAGACAAGATAACGGAACATTATTATATGGTTTATTACTTAAAGTCTAATTTTAGTTTCAACAATTTACATTGTCATCATCAGGCGGAATAACCTCTCACAGTTAAGTGGAAGATTTGTGTAAAACTTCAAGTGTTTTCCCGAGGTGAAAACAGCTTTTACACTGGAAAAATTTTAACGTAATTTAGCACCAACGAAGGTCTAAGGGTCCTGATTATCCGCTTGTTCGCTCAGGGCAAATATAAAGATGGAACCGTTGATTTTTTTCAACTCTGATTCTTGCTGATACTAATGGGGTTCGGAAAGGAGATGAAATGAAATGAATGGAGTTTTACGTCCTACTTTTTTTGCACCATGTGGGCTAATGAAGTCGGGTAACGCCATGTGATGGGATCGGAGGCGAAGATTTCGCCACTAGAAATCGGAAAAAGGAGTAGGATATGCTCAAGTTTATTGCTAATCCCTCGTTGTACTCTGTGTGGCTTTGAACGTATCAGTTAGGTGCAGACATATATGTATGTTCCTTACAATTTTAAAGGCAAGCTTGTCATAGGTGTTATAACTCAGGTGCGAATTTCTACTTCAAATTTTTCTGACCCGAGAAGGCCGACATCTATCAAAAATACTAATACTAAAATCAATAATCAAATTTATACTAATAAATGCTGGAATCAGAATTGGACTAGTGTAATGTTAACTTAGAATGTATCGACTTTTCCTATTGATTATTTCGCTTCATTTGTAATTATGATTTGATCTGAAGCGAAGCAGAATAATTGAGTATTATTGGAAGTAAAAAAAGTCTGGTTTTGTCTCCAGGAATCTTATCGATCGTACCAGAGAAAACATGACATATTCCAATAAAACACGTGGAATCCTTAAAGGGATTGTAAAGAGATTTTCTAACTTTTTTATGTGTATCAGGGACACTGATAGCATCGATATGCACCATTCCAATTTACAATCAGACATCTATGGTTCCTGCAATTCCACTTAAACTAAGCGTTTGATGACGTCATTAACCTCAAAATAGTCTGTATTTCATAACGACTTCCCGATTAGTGACGTCATAAAACGCTTAATCTAAATGGAACTGCAGGAAGGACAAACGTCTGATTGAAAATTGGAATGGTGGAAATTGATGCTATCAATGTTTCCGATACATATACAAAAATTTAGAAAAACCTCTTTACAATCCCTTTAAAAAAAAATGTTGTGTGTTATCTATGTCGACAATTTATCATATCGGTAATGGTTGGTTACTGTATAGCCTAATCCTGAAAAGTAGCCAAATTGAAATCGTTTCATTTAAAAGAAAAATGTTTGCCTGAAACTGAAGGTAAAGTTCTAACTTCAATGAAACAAGCATTTCATTTTTACAAGGATAACAACTTCGGTTCACAAAGATACTTTCTACCATGGCCGAACCTCTTGCCATTACTATTTCCATTCCGTACAGCTGGATCGACTGCAATAATGAGGAATTATGAATTAGTCAAGGTTACCAGCCTTTCACACAGTGGAAGCTGCAGAACTTTGGTTTGGCCTATGCAAATCTTTTTTGAAATCCAATTTGGGCATCAGGGCAATTTGAAAGATTATTCTTGAAATATTACTACATCTTATAGTGAAATAAAACATATTTCCACAAAAAGAGATTGTAGTCTTCGGCCGTGGCCCTTTAGGTTGGGAAGGGGGGCATTTATGCGGTTACCTTCGCCCACACCATTTATAGGGCTAAATACAAATCCTCGCCACCATCAAGAGTCTGGAGTCGTCACTGTTTTCACACGCCTAAAGACTAATACAGCAGATGTTCGTGTAGATTAAATATTTATCACAATGTATTCGAGTGCTATTAGACAAATAGCTCATCTTGTTAATTAAAATGTCTTCTTACCTATTCAGGCAATAGGATTAGACCAAAACTGACAATCGGAAATTAGCAGTCATTTACAAGTCAAATTAGAACTCTAATAAAAGTGTTAATTGGAAATCTGGCATTTAGTTCGCCCAAAATTAAAGAAAAAGTACGTGATCGAGCATACTTGTTTTTATCAGTCCATCATAATGATATACAACAAGAAAAAATAACAATTAATTATAGCACCGTTACACCAGAAAGGCGTCCTTACTGAGCTGCTACGGTGTCAGAAAATAAGCTTAGAGAATGTTAAGGTCGCCATTAGCGTGGTAAGAAATGACCACGCGATTTTAAGAACCAAATACAGCGCCATGGGTATCAGCATGCAGGAAAGATACTGTGCGGAAGGCGAAAGAATCGCCGTTGAGATCGCCAAGCAAGAATATCTTTAGACAAGCGTTGTAATATCTCCATGAACGCAATACAAGTAAATTACACCATAGATTTCATTATAAACGTGCCTGGGGAACGCAACTTGGTCGCATAACTTTAATGGAACGTTTTCTCGCGTGTTTATCACGTTTGCCGGGAGTACGGGGTTATGATAAACACGTCACATAATAACAAACAATATCAATTACTTATAAACATGAAATATGCAATATTCAAGCAGAATCCCCCTCATCCTCTTACGGTAGGAAATCTTCACCATTCGGAGTACGGAGGTGAGACAAATACGTCGCACGCGACACATAATAACAAACAATAACAATTACTAACATACATCAAATAGTCTTTAATAAGAAAAAATTCAAGCAGATATTTTCCTTGAATTCTGGTATCCACCCGTCTCTTAATCGCCCACTCCTCCTTCGTCGAGGTTAGACCATAATACAGAGTAATACTTGCCTTATTACGGGTGTGTGATAAACACGTCACACGCGTCACATAATAACAAACAATAGCAATTACTAACAGACATCAAATATGCATTAATAGGCAAGTTAATCAGATAGTGAGAGTGTAGAATTATTGACACGAGATACACGGGGATTACGACGGAAGTTAAATGATACGTGATCGATACAAAATCCATCTTTATTCATAATATTGGTCTGTCAAATTGGTCGAGATTTAACATTTGACAGTTGTTTGGATTTCTCTGTCTCTGTAAGAGGTAACGTAGTTATTAGTTATTTGAGATATTGGGACACTGCGTTGGGTATTTAAGACTGGGTATTAGGGTGGAGAGTCGACAACGAGCCGACTCTCGAAAGCATTGGCACAGGTATCTGAATTTTTCTTACATTGAGGAGGATTCGAACCCACGGCACCTATTCGCCTAGCAGACGACAATCTTACTCGCTACCGGGTTGTGTTAAGATAACAAGTTATTATTCAACAGAAAGCACTGGCACAGGATTAAAGCCGTGTTAAGTTTGGGTATTTAAGGTTAATTGTCGGACCAAAACAGGTCAGGTTTTCTAGTTTTCCAACAGTTAATAGATAATCTAACCAAACTAAACCAAACCAACGACTACCATTCGACTACCAATCAACAAGAAATACCATGATCAGAACGAGTTTGGAAGAATGAAGGAGTGAGTAACTCATGCCACACCATCCAGGGCTGAGTTTCACCGCCATGTCGACCCGACCAGATCTAACGAAGAATCAACAACCAGACCAACAAAACAGAATCTTCCAATTTGAACCAATCCAACTACCAAGACTACCAACAACTACTTAGTTTGCGAAATTGGCATCCGCTGGAAGCGAACGTTAACTTGTCACCTACCGACTTACCTACCAAAACAACAACAACAGCCCGAAAAATCTGGCCCTACACAGTTCTTTAGGCGTGATATACGGAGGTGGTATCGTCATATCTCGTCCGAGGAACTTGTTAGTGTTAGATTTGTCGGACTAGCATTTGCAATGATGGTGCCTTAATTTTCCGTTCCGATTTTTATCTTGGCCAAGGTCACTATTATTAAAATCAGATTACAATTTTGTTTCTTTTTTCCTGATATCTTTCGCCTGCATTGTTATCTAACAAGTGTTCTACTGCAGTCCTGTTCTAATCAAGTTTATTGTAACCAATCAAAGCGTGATCCAAAAACAAAAACTCCTTGTTTTACATGACTCGCTTTGATTGGTTGATAAATAACGTCATTAGAATATGACTTTGGTAGAAAACTGGTTAGATTACAATGGAGACGTAATACATGAATATCAGAAAAAAAATCGAAATTGTAATCTCATTCTATCTGATTGCGGTCATTAATTTGATTTGTGACAATGCTAAATTTCCTCTTTTGCTCTTCAGATTTAGAAGATGGATGCCGAAGAATTTAGAAAACGCGGACGGGAAATGATTGACTATGTAGCTGACTATCTGTCTAATATTGAAAGTCGACGACCAATGCCGGATGTTGAACCTGGTTACATGAAGACGCTGATCCGCGAGGATGCTCCTGTGGAACCCGACCAATGGGAAGACGTTATGAAGGACATAGAACCAATCATTATGAAAGGAGTGAGTGTGGGGATAGATCAGGAGGTTTTCAGCCTTGGGGAAATTTTGAAATTTTGATTTAAGTTGTTTTATTCAGTGAGGCTATAATCCCCAGCTTGAAAAAGATTGCACGGAAAACCTTAGAGGAAATCACAAAGTAGGAAGGATTTATAAGGGGGGAAGGGGGTAATTCAGTCGACCAAGGTTATCAAAAAGGGGTAAAAGAAAGAAAAAGATAGACACAAGAGCAAGGATGCTGGGGTGGTGTAGACTCAATCATTGTTTTTTCGGGAAGTGGTCAGAAAAATATCGGACAAACGCTAAAGTTTGTCCGGCCCCGTGGCATAGTTAAATAGTATCATTTTCAAAAACCCTAGTCATGTTTATTATACGAATCGTTTGCTTTACTTAATTTTTTTCAGGTTACACATTGGCACAATCCAAATTTCCACGCCTATTTTCCTACGGCTAACTCTTATCCTGCTATATTGGGAGATATTCTCAGTGATGGTATTGCCTGTATTGGATTTTCATGGGTAAGACCTTACTCCTCTCTAAATGCATGAAATATCGTTCCAGAAGGTTGCCCGCTTGTGGACTGTGTTCCCAATGATTGTGATGGCTCAGTGAGATAAGAGTTCGATCTCGGGGTAGTTCGACATGATGCCTAGGATTTTTCCGTGTCAATAATTCAGGCCGGAGGGGGTTGACTTTGAAAAAGCGTCTAATCATTAGAAAGGAAGTAGACCAATAAGGTCCCATCTGCCACACCTTTTACACAAATCAGGTGCAGAAAAAACCAATTTCATTTCAAATTTGGGAAGAAACAATGGGACAAAATCAAAATTCATACTCAATATAAAGCTATGTTAAAACTTCGTTACAGTGGTTCAACAAGATTAGTGGGTCCCCCAGGAATTTATTTTTACACATGTTCTTCTCCATTTTATCTGGTGATGAGGGTTGTGGCCTGTGGACTTGGTTCATCCAGTCCCTATATGTTGGTCGAACCACAGCTTCATCAGGCTTTACTGTGCATTATTTTGCTGTACATGACTAATTTGAAAATAGCAGAGAATCGTTATTGGAATATGCATATATGTTTGCAGGCAGCCAGCCCAGCTTGTACCGAGCTAGAAGTACACATGATGAATTGGCTAGGAAAGATGCTGAATTTACCCAAAGAGTTTCTGTTCAGCCCAGGCGGTCATGGTGGCGGTGTTATACAGGTTTGATCGTCGTTCTTACATTTTCATAGAAATTACAATCTTCAGATGTCAACGATATATGAGCATATCAGCTATCTAACCTTTGATTCGGCAAACAAATAAATGAGGCCAAATTTTATCTCTCAAGGACGTTATCGCTATTTTTATATGTACAGTGAGTCAGATGTCATTTTTTTGTTTCATATTGTGCATGTATATTTGCAAAATTTCACAGCAGTAGCCCACAAAATCACATTTCATTTCATTGCGTTCAGAACAGCAAAAAAAAAAAAAAAAATAGTACAAAACTCGCCAATTCATTTTATTCTATAGAAACGTTAACAGTACAAATCCATTTCAGTTCAAAACAGCTACGTTACATTAAAGACCATTTCATTTCATTGTGTTCAGAACAGTAACTTACATTAAAACCATTTCATTTCATTGTGTTCAGAACAGTTACGTTACATTAAACACCATTTCATTTCACAGTGTTCAGAATAGTAACGTTACATTAAACACCATTTCATTTCACAGTGTTCAGAAAAGTTACGTTATATTAAACACCATTTCATTTCATTGTGTTCAGAACAGTTACGTTACATTAAACACCATTTCATTTCATTGTGTTCAGAACAGTTAGGTTACATAAAACACCATTTTATTTCATTGTGTTCAGAACAGTTACGTTACAATAAACATCATCCCATTTCATTGTGTTCAGAACAGTTACGTTATATTAAACACAATTTCATTTCATTGTGTTCAGAACAGTTACGTTACATTAAACATCATCTCATTTCATTGTGTTCAGAACATTTACGTTACATTAAACAACATTTCATTTCACTGTGTTCAGAACAGAAACGTTACCTTATACACCATTTCATTTCATTGTGTTCAGAACAGTAACGTTACATTAAACACCATTTTATTTCATTGTGTTCAGAACAGTTACGTTACATTAAACACCATTTCATTTCATTGTGTTCAGAACAGTTACGTTACATAAAACACCATTTTATTTCATTGTGCTCAGAACAGTTACGTTACAATAAACACAATTTCATTTCATTGTGTTCAGAACAGTTACGTTACATTAAACACCATTTTATTTCATTGTATTCAGAACAGCTACGTTACAATAAACACCATTTCATTTCATTGTGTTCAGAACAGTATAAATTAATTTCGTATCATTTCAGTCGACGGCGAGTGAAGTAACGTTAACCTGTTTGTTGTCAGCTAGAACCAAAATTATTAACCAGTTCAAGAAAAATAACCCGAGCATTGAGGAAGGGGAAGTCATCTCAAAATTAATTTGCTACACTTCATCTGAGGTAAGTGTAAGCGAATCTTCATGGCCAGGGTACTACGAACTTCGTCTTATACCATGACTGCACAGCACGTGGCACAGATGGGTTTTGCAGTCAAGGTATAAGACGAAGTTCGTAATAGCTCTATATTGCCAAGATTGTGTGAGGGTAAGGGTTGATATCTTCATAACGATGACGAATTGTGAGTTTTGCTATTCTACAATTTGTGCTTTTTTTTCTTCATCTAGGCCCATTGTTCAGTGGAAAAGGCCGGTTTAATAGGTGCTGTTAAAATGAGGATTTTGGAACCAGACGAGAAAGGCAGTCTAAGGGGAGTAACTCTAGAGAAAGCCATTAAAGAAGACAAAGCCAAAGGCCTTGTTCCTTTCTTCGTAAGTATGAATCTGTGAATTCTGTAAAAATATATCCCAAAGTAATATATACGTGCTACTGTATCGCCACCAGCCACAGCTGCAATGTACCAACAATTAGAACTACCATGTAAATTCGGTTTATATATTACACAATTTTCACTTCATTATATAATTATTCTATTTCAGATCTGTGCTACTTTAGGTACAACAGGCTGCTGTGCATTCGATAATATCAAAGAACTTGGTCCTATCTGTAAGTACAGTTCAGAAACATTCCTATGTGATATCCATATTGTACAGCATTACAGCTCAAACCGTCATGTATCCACCACTGGAAGATGCAGACCCGTAACCCCCAAAAAATAGATTTCTCCCCTGAAACAATTCTGACATCCGCCCATTTTCATTACTGCAACTAAACACCATACACCATTGCCCCTGAGGATATCTTAATTGCCCCTCCGAACAATCAAGTCTGGCTACGGACCTGGGAAGAAGATGGTTCACAATTTGGATCCTCTGTGGTCAATCTGAAACACTCAAGATAATTAAGCTGTGAACGTGTTGTGATATATTGTTCAAAAACTATTTATGGGCTTAGAATTAAAATTTTCCAGAGCAAGTTTTAGATTTAGGAGACAATTGAATTTGATGATGTACTATTTTGAGCATTTTGTCTTCCAGGTGAAAAAGAAGATATCTGGATGCATATTGATGCTGCTTATGCTGGAAGTTCTTTTATCTGTCCAGAATACAGACCACTGTTAGATGGCGTCGAGGTAAAGATTATTCTTTCTGTTTAAAGGTGCGAGTAGATAAAAGAATAACTTAGCACGTCCGCCCAGTTTTTTGTGTATTAGCTTCGTCCGTTTTCTAGCAACGAATACATTAGGAATTACCTAATTTACCATTGTTCCTAAGGTATCTTGGCTTCGATGTTCAGACAGTCACTGTCATTTAAAAACATTTTGACGATGAAGTTGAATATGCAAGATTGCAGATTTCTGTTAGACTCGAGAATTTTGCTTCTATTGTTAACATGAATCTCAAACTTTTCTTCCAGCATGCCATGTCATTTAACTTCAATCCACATAAATGGTTACAAGTTACATTTGATTGTTCAACCCTATGGTAAGAATAAGACATCAATTTTGTTCTCGGAACACGTCCTCTTATATTGGCAGGTCCTCTTTGTAGGTCCTGTTACATTGACAGGTTCTCTGGTAGTACCTCTTGAATAGACAGGTCCACTTTGGTCTTAAATTGGCAGGTCCTCTTGGTAGGTGCTCTTAAATTGGCAGGTCCTCGTGGTAGGTGCTCTTAAGTTTGCAGGCCCTCTTGGTAGGTGGTCTTGAGTTGGCAAGTCCTCTTGGCAGTCCCTCTTAAATTGGCAGGTCCTCTTGGTAAGTGCTCTTGAAATGACAGATCCTCTTGGTAGGTGCTTTTTAATTGTCAGATCCTCTTGGCAAGTGCTCTTAAATTGGCAGGTCCTATTGGTAGGTGCTCTTAAATTGGCAGGTCCTCTTTGTAGGTACTCTTAAAATGGAATGTTCTCTTGGTAGTTGCTCTTAAATTGGCAGATCCTCTTGGCAGGTCCCTCCATGGAATAGTTTTAATAAATGCTCTCCTGTGCTTTTTTCTGAGGGTTGGCACCCCTCAGGATTTTGGCCCATGGACTTGGTTCAACCAGTCCTATGGATATTGACTCACTGTCGCTTTTTGATTTTGTAGAATTTATATTTAAATTTTGTCAATATTTTATATTTCAGGGTAAAGGATAGTCGATTATTAGCCGGGGCATTCGTAGTGGATCCATTGTATCTCAAACATGACACAGAAGGGGAGATGCCTGACTACAGGGTAAGGGAGCTCATTTCTGGTTCAGGCTGTCCACCCGTTGCACCGTTTATCTCAATTTGGTACTAATTGGCCGAAGGTCACCAAATGTGTAATTCCAAAATTCGGACTTAATGGTAGTCCAGCTTAATTTATAAATATGGACGGAACAAGGCCATCACTTATTACTGCACGCCCTTAATTTGATAAAGTCGTCACAATATGGCGATGAACGATGCAGCTAAAATTCAATTCATTTCTATTTCAGCATTGGCATATACCATTAGGACGTCGATTTAGATCATTAAAGTTATGGTTTGTATTGAGGTTATTCGGTCAGAAGAAATTACAAGCACAAATTATACAGGTAATCTTGAATATAACCATATATTGGTCTCGGTTATATCTTGAACGTAAATTATCTAAATATTTTTGTTATAACTTGAACGTACAACATTCAAATGTATTCATTATATCTTCCACGTACATTATCAAAATGTTTTGTTTATATCTTCAACGTACATTATCAAAATGTTTCGTTTATATCTTCAACGTACATTATCATATATTGGTTATTTTCAACGTACATTATCATATGTTGGTTATATCTTCAACGTACATTATCAAAATGTTTTGTTATATCTTCAACGTACATTATCAAAATGTTTTGTTTATATCTTCAACGTACATTATCAAAATGTTTCGTTTATATCTTCAACGTACATTATCATATATTGGTTATATTTTCAACGTACATTATCATATGTTGGTTATATCTTCAACGTACATTATCAAAATGTTTTGTTATATCTTCAACGTACATTATCAAAATGTTTTGTTTATATCTTCAACGTACATTATCAAAATGTTTTGTTTATATCTTCAACGTACATTATCATATATTGGTTATATCTTCAACGTACATTATCAAAATGTTTTGTTTATATCTTCAACGTACATTATCAAAATGTTTTGTTTATATCTTCAACGTACATTATCAAAATGTTTTGTTTATATCTCCAACGTACATTATCAAAATTTATTGGCTATATCTTCAACGTACATTATCATGAAGTATCGGTTATATCTTCAACATACATTTTCAAAGAACGATCTTTGACGCATGAACACGTAAGCCACTTTGGAACCTGCAATTTAGTATTGGTTTTCCGTTTCACTCAATATTTTCTGTTTTCTTTTGTAGGATATCAAACTAGCTAAAGAATTTGAAAAATTAGTTTTAGAAGATAAAAGATTCGAAATCTCATTTGATGTTATAATGGCGCTAGTTTGTTTTAGGTTAAAGGTAGGTAACATCAAGAGAGAATCATCCGACTTTCCTAAAATCTTCAGGAATTAACTACGGACTTGGGAACCATGCGGGAGCCACGGAAGCTCAGTGAGGTAGACGCTTGCTCGCCAACCTGAAGGTGCAGGGTTCCAGTCCCTCCCCCCCCCCTCCCTCTATTTCAGTTATGCAGGTTGGAAGGACTGACATGGAAAAAATGTCTGTTGTTCGGATGCTACAATAAACTTTGGCTTGGTATGCTACAACCTGTGCACGTTGAAGATCCGTCAACAGTCGAAAAAGAGTAGGATTGTACCGTTGTCCTAGAAAAATTGTTTAACTCCATGCATTTCATTTCATTTTTGGAAACGTTGTCCTATTAGCTATTTCGTCTTAGCTATAAGACTTATTAAGTCGACATTTATAAGAAGGTTTTAGTATTTCCACAAACACTTCAGACAACAATTCAAAATGGCCGTGAACTACGTTCGTGTGTATTATTTCCATGTAAGAAGCATGCTAAGGAAGCGAGACGGGATGCCCACACCTGATGTCATTGCGAGAATGGTTTTGTCAACTCCATGAGCTAATTTCCCCCATCATTATATTTTTCAGGGCACAAACGAAATCAATGAAAAACTATTAAAATTAATCAGCGAGGATGGAAGAATCCATATTGTGCCATCGAACTTCAAGGAAAAGTATTACTTACGTTTTGCCGTTTGTGCTACGTCCACTACGTCAGAGCACGTTCAGTTTGCCTGGAAAGTGATCACAGAAATGACTGATAAACTCAAAGTATAACAAAAAAAATTCTTAAAAAAAATTCTTTCTTAGTGGAAATTGTAGAATTGTTGTGAGATAATGGATACATTCGGCATAATATTTGCTTTACAAACTGATCAAGGACGTATCACTATCATTTTATAAATTGAAAATCTGTAATATAGTTCGTCAACATTTAAATGAAAATGAATCTGCGGAATTGGAGGAAGGTGCAGGATCTGAGTCAAGTAGCTATTTTGCCTGATTTTATTCTTTGGCTCTCATGCTATTTTAGCACAAATCTAGCTAAACTCAGATGTGTTTTGGCTATTTTAGCGCTCTAAAATAGCGGGCTACAGCTATTCTAACCAGGCTATTTTAGAAAAACGCTAAAATAGCGGCTATTAGCCGGTTTCAATACAGTCATAGTCAATCGCTAAAATAGAGTTATTAGAATATATGTAGCCGCTATTTTAGCGCTTTGCTACAATAGAGTTATTAGAATAGCCGTAGCCGCTATTTTAGCGCTTTGCTACAATAGAGTTATTAGAATAGCCGTAGCCGCTATTTTAGCGCTTTGCTACAATAGAGTTATTAGAATATATGTAGCCGCTATTTTAGCGTTTTGCTACAATAGAGTTATTAGAATATATGTAGCCGCTATTTTAGCGTTTTGCTACAATAGAGTTATTAGAATATATGTAGCCGCTATTTTAGTGCTTTGCTACAATAGAGTTATTAGAATAGCTGTAGCCGCTATTTTAGCGTTTTAAGAAAGGAGCTATTTTATTTTCTAAAATAGAGGCTATTTTTGAGCTATTCTGCTATTTTATTCGCTACATTATTTTACTGTTAATAGAGTTATTAGAATAACTGTAGCTGCTATTTTAGCGTCTTAGGGAGGAGCTATTTTATTTTCTAAAATAGAGGCTATTTTCGAGCTATTCCGCTATTTTATGCGCTAAACTCAGATCCTGCACCTAAGTGCGGAATTGACAATTCAACAATCTCCCATTCAGACATTAACATTGACTTCATAATATCAATAATTCATTGGGGGTCACGGATATTTAGCTAGACGTAAAACACGTCACTTCCGTCGATATTTGCTTAAGCATAGGCGAAAGACGTGTATGATTTTCCTTCTGAATATGGATATGGTTGTTCGCTAATAATTTGGAAAATCCCTTATAATGACTAGGCAAATGCTTGGAATAAATGATAATACCCTTTGAGGAAATTTGTTTTCTTGGTGGGTGAAAACGGTATTTTGAAAGTGGTAACGGTTTTATCTATTTTTCCCAACAACACTCATGTTTACCATTTTAATGTTATTTATATCATACTTTGCTCGTTGTAAATAAAAACTTATAACCACATGCTTATTGTGATGTGTCTTAGGCCATTTCTTTCATCAAATCCACATGAGTGCAGCTGGTTTGGAAGCAGTGGTGACTCCATAGGATCAAAATAATATTTTTTGGGTGGAAATATACATTTTTTATTTGTAAAAATGTTATATAATATTGAAAGAATATACTTCCTAATTTCATAAAATGCAGGATTTTATTTTTCAAAAACTGTTACCCCACGATCCCCTCTAAAACGGATTCGAAAAATAAACATAGATTCCAATAAACTTGGACATTACCCAATAACTGGAATATACGCCAAATTTCAATTCCTATTGACTATCTCTCTTTACGACGTTCAATGAACAGTTTCTTAGTGCAGCACTCCTGTTCGAGTCCTGTAATAAAATTCCAGAAAGGATATCACTGTCAATATTTGGCTTGATAGACTTTTGCCTTCTAATCTGTTCGGGTTTTTTTTTGGACTATACGGGACCTTTGACATGGGGTGGTAGACTTGTCACTTATTGACTCAATGAGATATGCTCCTGTCGAATTGATTTAGGTCAAGAGCCTTCATACTTTTGAATGTTCCCCCGGTAGACTTGTCGCTTCTCGTTCTGTGAATTCGCTTGCTTTGGAAAGTCGACCCCCATGTCAATAAACTCAGTGTTCAATTTGAATTTCGCATCCAAAACACGTGTCAGTGTGAGTTCTTGGGCATAGCCCCAGTGGGGGTGCAGGGGAGGAGGGATTTGTACCCCCAACTGCACCCCAACTTTTTTTGTAACGTTTTTTCCTCAAAATATGTGTCAGAATGCACCGAAACCATTATTCTATTCGGGGAGCCCTCCCACACACTCCTTAGGAGGCTTGCATCTACGGCGCTTCCACAGAGATACCGCATTTTGAATCTCAACCTTGACAGTTAGGTGCCCCCCCCCCCCCCATTCAGACATTTTACTCCCTATTTGTAGACCCAGTCTGGGGAATCTGGCGTCGCTACTATATAGCACATCATAGCAATAAATGATGCTTAAAGCTTAAATAAAATGAATTGGACATTTTGGTTTATCTGTACTTGGTAGGACTATTGAAGACGGACTTTGTCGGTCACTAGGTTATGCGCGGGAATATCAATAAGGTAGCCTTGAAAAAGTGACCCAAAACAGCTCACAGTTGAGATCATTTTTTGAAATCAAACCAGATATTTAAGTGTAGTCCACAGATAAGGGACTACAACAATAGATTTCGGGGGAGGGAGGGTTTGATTCTCCCAAATGTACAGGCCTAGGGTGGAGCAGACACTTTATTTAGAAATTAGGATTAAGGGTCTTGATATTGGGTTTTGTTCTGTTCTTATTCTGATGTGAAATTAGAAAAAACAACTCCCCCGATGGGCGAGAAGTATACTATCTGTTATATACTGATTGTTTTTAGTTTACTATGAACAATATTATCATTTAAGTTCTTATTTTTTGAATAATATGCAACTATCATTTTCTGCTTATAGACATGGGGGAATTTCTCTTAAAGGCTCTTATAGTGGGCATGAACTATCTTGCTTGCTCGATTGCTGGTTGTATTAAACGGGACAACAAAATTTGATAAAGTCGTCACAATATGGCGATGAACGATGCAACTAAAATTCAATTCATTTCTATTTCAGCATTGGCATATACCATTAGGACGTCGATTTAGATCATTAAAGTTATGGTTTGTATTGAGGTTATTCAGAAGAAATTACAAGCACAAATTATACAGGTAATCTTGAATATAACCATATATTGGTCTCGGTTATATCTTGAACGTAAATTATCAAAATATTTTTATGTAACTTATCTAAATATTTTTGTTATAACTTGAACGTAGAACATTAAAATGTATTCATGATATCTTCAACGTACAATATCATATATTGGTTATATCTTCAACGTACATTATCATATATTGCTTACATCTTCAACGTACATTATCATATATTGCTTACATCTTCAACGTACATTATCATATATTGTTTATAATTGGTTATATCTTTATCTTATATTGTTTATAATTGGTTATATCTTCAACGTACATTATCATATATTGTTTATATCTTCAACGTACATTATCATATATTGGTTATATCTTCAACGCATAATCTATTGGTTATATCTTCCACGGACATTATCAAAATATTTTGTTTATATCTTCAACGTACATTATCAAAATATTTTGCTTACATCTTCAACGTACATTATCATAATTTATTGGCTATATCTTCCACGTAGATTATCATGGGACGGGACCTTTGACATGGGGTGGTAGACTTGTCGCTTATTGATTCAATGAGATATGCTCCTGTCGAATTGATTTAGGTCAAGAGCCTTCATACTTTTGAATGTTCCCCCGGTAGACTTGTCGGAGGGATTTGTACCCCCAACTGCACCCCAACTTTTTTTCTAACGTTTTTTCCTCAAAATATGTGTCAGAATGCACCGAATCCATTATTCTATTCGGGGAGCCCTCCCACACACTCCTTAGGAGGCTTGCATCTACGGCGCTTCCACAGAGATACCGCATTTTGAATCTCAACCTTGACAGTTAGGTGCCCCTCCCCCCCCCGCCATTCCGACATTTTACTCCCTATTTGTAGACCCAGTCTGGGGAATCTGGCGTCACTACTATATAGCACATCATAGCCATAAATGATGCTTAAAGCCTAAATACAATGAATTGGACATCTTGGTTTATCTGTACTTGGTAGACTATTGAAGACGGACTTTGTCGGTCACTAGGTTATTCGCGGGAATATCAATAAGGTAGCCTTGAAAAGGTGACCCAAAACAGCTCACAGTTGAGATCATTTTTTGAAATCAAACCAGATATATAAGTGCAGTCCACAGCTAAGGGACTACAACAATAGAGTTATCTAAAGATAAATAACAAATAAGAGACGAATCGATTTCAACTTTATTTACATCTGATTTTGGGAACACTAATCTTAACTTCCGCTGCGTCGAGATAATACCTTCTGATTTTTCAACCGGTTTCCCCTTGTCAGTGATGTAGGTAAGAGGGGCTGACATGGAAAAAGCGTCTTGTCGTTCGTATAGGACAATAAACCGAGGCCCCGTGTGCTACAGGCTGTGCACGTTAAAGATCCCTCGACAGTTGGAAATCGAAAAAGAACAGGCTAATGCCGCAGTCTTGGCAAAATTTCCCTCATCGCACCCTGCATGGCGTTGCCCGTCTTCATTAGCCCACATGGTGCAGAAAAGTAGGACGTAAAACTCCATTCATTTCATTTACCAAGTCAGCACACGAGCAACATCTCGTTTTGGTTTCTCGCACGTGCAGACATGCCAGCCACCGCCATTTTATTAGATACATCAGCAAAATTACATCAAAAAGACATTGTAGAAGTGATTAAAGTAAGGCGAAAAGGCACAAAAGAACAATACCGGTTCGATACCGAGATTCCTATAGCAAGTTTAACGGAGGATGAGATAGTGAAAAATTTTGATAAACGACACGTTGTGTTGATTTTTTATCTCCCGAGCAAGACATATTTTTAGTTATTTATCATTCTGCTATATGAAAACGGGATGATTTTCAATGGGCTATCCAGTTTAATTTTAAATAAAATGCGTTTAGAAGTGAAAGATTAGGTGAGTCTACACTTTAAATCAGTGTCCATAATTTAGTCAGAGTGAGGTGATTCTCGTTTATTAGAATACAATAAATTACACTTTAGGCGCTATTGAGTATGATATTGATTAAGCTATAGTAATGATACTAATTGTTTCTGGTTGAACTTATATAATAGAGATAATTTATAAAAATAACATTTACTGAAACATTTAGTTTTTCAGTTTTCCGTGATTTAGTTAATTGTATTGAAGGTATAGTCTATTTAAAATGGTCATGCTATAGTCCGCCAGTAGTAGTAAAGGAATAGTCAGTTGAAAGTGGTCAGGGGTACTCAATATGGAGTGGTCATAGTAAAGCGAGTTTAATATGATAAGAATTGGTCAAACTCAAGTGAACAAGAGTGTCGTCAGTATGTAGTGG